TGTGCCTATGTCTATCTATCGTTCTTGCGTCTTTCTCTCTACTTCACCTCTGCACTGCTCTCTCACTCGGTCCAACGCTATCTCGGGCTTGTCGGTCCGTTCCTTTCCCCTAACCATCGCTAACGGGGTCTACCCCTCGAGCTACGAATCGGAGATTGGCGGAGAGACCGGTCGATTATCTATAATCGATAGGAACTACCGGTATATTGGTGTACGCGGTGCGTGGCGCGCAGAGAGCGACGCTTAAATCCACCGGACACCGCGAACCTCTCTCTCTCTCTCTCTCTCTCTCTCTTTGTCTCTCTGGCCGTCAGACTATGCGCCATTCGTTTCGCACCGATTAATTATTAGGGGTATGTATGCAGCTATGCGGCAGTGGAGAAAGATATTCCAATTGACACGTGTATAGAATAAGTATAATAATGGAGTAAAGCAAGTAAAAGGACGATAAAGGCCAGTTGAGAAAGAAAGAAGGACCTTCGGACCTCGAACGAAAGTAGAAAATTCACAAGAATACAAAACACGTGGGAAATCTAATATGGTTCTTCGACAATTCTGACTACCATCGGAGATGTTAAACTAAAAAAAAGAAAAGAAAAAATAGAAAACTTTACATTACAATGAAGTTAAAAAACAAACTTTTGCTCGTACGTTTTACGAAAAATCACTTAAATCTTTGAAAAACACACTGTTTCACGTCTCTGTAAAATATTCGACAAAAATTGGTCATTCTGACCATTTTGGTGGTTCTATTGTTGAGCGATAACGAATGGACAGGAACGTGATTCAATCATGACGATAACGACTATTGCTACATGTTTTTTTTCGACTTCTCGACAATAATCAAAGATCGATATTCCACGCTCAGATATTTTTATTAAACAAAAAACTTTTTTCTCAATTCGTTCAAAATCAATATCTTATTTAAGAATACAGTTTTGAATATATTAACTAGAATATAGGTTATGTTATAACAAGTTAAATTATCGTCGCTAGATGGCGAACGTTTATTAAAACAGACGACATTACTTATGGGCAGCCTTAATATTTTTTTTCGAAAAATTCCACTATTTTTCAAAAGATAATTCCCTCTCTAATGCGAACAACTTATTTCTCACTTCTCTCCACACGCAATCTGTTTTCTTTGTATTAAGAATACCTAAACCTAACCTAAACCTAACCTATGGTTTCTTTGTATTAGGAGTACCTAAACCTAACCTAAACCTAACCTATCCTAAACCTAACCTAAAACTAAGTAATGTCGTTTAATCTCGATACCTGTAGAAAATTTTATTTTATTCAAGAGTTAATACAGTTTTGGTCTGGAACATAATTTAACATTCTATTATTTATTATAGTAGGTTAAATTATCGTCGCTAGATAGTTTATTAAAATTTGAAAAAGACGACATTACTTATGGGCAGCCTTAATATTTTTTTTCGAAAAATTCCACTATTTTTCAAAAGATAATTCCCTCTCTAATGCGAACAACTTATTTCTCACTTCTCTCCACACGCAATCTGTTTTCTTTGTATTAAGAATACCTAAACCTAACCTAAACCTAACCTATGGTTTCTTTGTATTAGGAGTACCTAAACCTAACCTAAACCTAACCTATCCTAAACCTAACCTATCCTAAACCTAACCTAAAACTAAGTAATGTCGTTTAATCTCGATACCTGTAGAAAATTTTATTTCATTCAAGAGTTAATACAGTTTTGATCTAGAACATAATTTAACATACTATTATTTATTATAGTAGGTTAAATTATGGTCGCTAA